CCGGTCATCTTTAAAAAAAAAAAAAAAAAAAAATTTCTGGTGCATTGCTTTTTGGATCCCTGTAAAACAGTCTATATATAACTTACTTTTAAATAGGTTAGCATGTAACAGTATACTTTATAAATGCATTCCTGAAATACTTAAAATATTTTAGTTATGGCTATGCTCAAAAGAAAAGCATTGTCCTATCATACTCTCATTAATACTAACTAATATTGATTGACATTAAAACTACAAGCTTTGAACATTCTGCCTGATGAACTAAGTGTAAAAGGATTGGGACAGATTTAATCAATATACCAAATTTATACATTCGAATGAGTGTTGTCTCCTTCAAAATAGTCATTCTGAGAAGTTACACTATTATTCCAACCACGGTGCTGATGCTCAATCTTCAAGTTTTTATCAAAGTCTGAAATATACTCTTTGGTGTATCCTCAAACGACAAATGTTCAGTAATTGTGAATGGATTTGATTTTTTAAAATAGCTAATGTCTGGGGAAACAAAGCTGGGGAATAAGACATATGATCAAGTTAGGTAATTTTATTTGTGGTCAAAAAATAAGTTCTAACCATAAATAATGAGACCGATTTCCTTTAGTGGCTTCATGTAATCATAAACTGATTTTTAAGGAAATCCCCAAATTTGGAATTATTTGAATTATGGACATAATTAAATTTAACCCATAGTAGACTTTCTAGAGATAAGGTCTTTTTAGGTGGTAATTAAGGTTAAATGAGGTCATTAGGGTGAGGCCCTAATCTGAAAGGCCTGTGGTATTATAAGAAGAGAAATATTTCTCTCACTTCTCTCTCTCCTTTTATCTTTCTCTCCCTCCTTCGTCCAACCATGTGATGACACAGTGAAAAGCCAGGAATAGAGCCCTCATCAGAAACCAAAACCCGCTGGAACCTTGATCTTGGACTTTGCAGCCCCCACAGCTGTAAGAAAATAAATTTCTGTTGTTTAACTCACCCAGTCTATGATATTTTGTTACAGCATCCAAATGGACTAAGGAAATTTTTTGACAATGCTATGACTTTCAAGCTGACATTCATTTAGATGTGAATACATTTAGTATGTTATCTTCAAAAAGACATGCTTAAAACAAAGTATCAGTCTTATTACTATACAGTCCAACCACATAGTTTGGGTATTAATATATGCCAAAATTTAAAATCACCAACAAATGCTTCACTTCCAAAAGTGTGCATAAACCTTAAAAGAACACAATTCCATATTACTGAAATAAGTACATCAAGGAAGTTAATTCTAAGTACCAGTAATTAGAAATGATGGATCCTCATTAATTTACTAAGTAGTGTTAATTGGATATAACAAATCCTTGATACGATACTGTTTGGAAAATTTTTTTTTGGTATTTATTGAGCATTTTATTTGTTTGGAAATTTCTGGGATTAATAAAAACCACAGCAGAAGCCTTCAAACATGGTAACTTTCATTGTATCTAATTTTCCCAAGCAAAACCCAAAGGCACATTTTTTTAATGGTATGGTAATATACTCTGTTTAGGAATAATCTATGAAAGGGTAAAGTTTGGTTTAAAAATTATTTCAGTAAGTTAAAAATACATACTTTAAAAAAACTCACCCAAGCTTCAGCATATTGATCATGTCAAAGTTCACTACATCAAACACCTTCATTGCTTTATCATCACCCACAGAACAGAACAATGCTCCCTCAGAGCTAACTGCAATACTCTCAATAACTCCTATTTAAATAAATCAAATTAGAACATTCTAGTAAATGCCAATGAAATAAATATGAATGATTCAAAGAAAAAAATATTTTTAAAGTAATTTTAATTAGTGTAGTTTAAAAGAGTATAAAATAAAACAAGGTGAAATTCTTACCTAGGTGACTACGAAAATGTTTAACAAATTCAATTCCCTCTTCTATTTTTTTCCAGAACTTAACATGTCCATCATGACTGGCAGTGATAATAAAATCTGTCCTGCATATAAAAAAGTTTAAAAGTTAATTCCTAAAATGGATCTATGAATCACTCAGTACCACCAAAGCCATCATTTACTGAAAATCTCTGACTCTTTCATAGTAGGTTTTTAAAAAAATCTTTCTTTATGCAGACCACTGTATTAGGGTAGGTAGAAAACTGCAAATTTTGAAGATCTTTTTTGGATATCATAACAATTACTGTTGTACTAATTTTAATCCCAAGGGCTAGGCTCAGAACTGAATTAATATATTAAACAAACAAACAAACAAACAAACACTAGGAATCATAGACTTTAGGATTCCTTATTGTTAAAATTACTCTTTAGGCAATATTTTCATGAGAAAATGTACTATTTTTCAGAAATATAAAATGAAAATAAATTGAAAAATAAATGAAAAATCTCCACATACTACTTTTATGTATAGCAAAATTCAACATAAGTTTGTTTTATATCCTTTCCAAGGTATTTTGGTTAATTATTAAAAAATTTTATATAGAACAGTCTCCCCTGTAAGGCACATAAAAACAGAAACCATTTATTGAAACCTAGTATATGTCAGGTACTTTACACACATTACCTTAGTTCATCTTTACAGCAACTCAATTAGGTGAGTATTTTTATCACTATTTTATAAATAGGAAATAGTTTTAGAATGTTAAATTTACTTGCCCCAGGTCCATAGCTAGAGAGTGGCTTTCAGATCTACCTAAGCACAAAACCTTTAAGTTTTTTGGGGGGCACCTGGCTGGTACAGGGACCTGAACCCTTGACCTTGGTGTTATCAATACCATACTCTAACCAACTGAGCTAACTGGCCAGCCCAAAACCTGTAATTACACTCCATTGCTTTTGGTTAAAAAAAAACAAAAAAACTCAAGGAGCGAGTGATAGCAATGCTGGTACCAATACACTGCTTTATACACCAACAACTCTGGACTAGGAAAGGTGTTAATATTTGGTCAGAATTATCCTATATGTGAAATATAAAGATATTTAGATTTATATCTGAAATGGAATTTGTCTTCAAGAGATCAAGAATAGACTGATTCAAAAAATGAAGTAATCCGTTTACTTTCCAAAATCAGTGCCAATATAATCCAAGCCACTAACATATCGCATCCAGATTTCTATACCAGCCTTCTAACTGCTCTCCCTTTATCTATTCTTCCCCTATTGAATCCATTCATCTCAGCTAGAGTGGTCCTTCAAAAAAAAAAAAAAAAAATCTGATATTACTCTTCTGCTCACAGTTTCAAAATCCATGTAAGGGATAGAAAGCCCTCTGGGATTTAGCCCTGGCCTTTTTTCTTCGACCTCACCTGCTATTTAACCTCTCTAAACTTCAGTTTCCTCATCTATAAAATGAAGATCATATACTACCTCACGATATTGTTCTTAAGATAAATGAGATAATTTATGAAAAGCCTTAGCACAGTAGCTGGACATACCATGAGCTTATTTTTCCTGTATCATACGAGGAATACATTGTCAAAGACAGAACCCTCTAGTTTGTGTTTGTCTTCTGGAGATAAGTGCCAAGACGGGGATAAACCAGGTAGCGTCTGAGCTTCCCTGAAGAAGAGGGTACATTAGTTAAGATAGAAGTAATTGGTAGATGGCCTCTTTGGCATTAATGGAGAAAATGGTGGGAACTAAGACATCCTGGAAATATCAAAGGACCTTCAAAACCAATGAATGGGGGATTTGGAGAAGGATAATAATAGTAGTTATAATGTTTGTTGAGCTCATCCTTCTCCAAAGGATGTCTTAGTTTCCACCATTTTCTCTATTAATGCCAAAGAGGCCAGCTACCAATTACTTCTGTCTTAACTAATATACCCTCTTCTTCAGGGACGCTCAGACGCTACCTGGTTTATCCCCATCTTGGCACTTATCTCCAAAAGACATAAACACAAACTAGGGGGTTCTGTCTTAGACAATGTATTCCTTGTATGATACAGGAAAAAACATGTAGGCTTTAACTTAAACTATTACAGAACTAACATAATTAAATATAAATCTATAAAATCCTAAAATTACTTCTACAAATCCACCTCAAAATTGAAGTTTTTTTAAAATAAAAAACTGTCTTAGAAAATAAAAAATTTCTTAGAAAAAAATTTAATTTAAAATTTAATTATGTGATAGACTTACTTGGTGCACACCACATGGGTGATAACATCTCTATGCATGTAACTGCGCTCATACATGGATGCACTGGGGAGATTATCCAGATAGACTCTTTCAAACTCTAGAACTGAGGGATAAAAAAGCAAAGTAAAAAATTTACTTTTAACAAGTGCATGAACTAAATACTACTTTGTTTTTTCTTTAAAATTTTCTAAATTCTTTTTTTTTTTTTTTTTTGTCTTTTTTCATGTCCGGCA